ATATATCTTGTGTTAAAGGTTTGTGACTTGAGACTATTTGTGGTTCTGTGTACTGTGTACTGTTTGAGTAACCAGGGCTAATAGAAATGTATGGTATATATTAGGCTCAATATTAGATTCAATTCACAAAGCTAAGAAACCAAGATATCTTTATTTTCCCAAAAAGTGAGTTATTTTCACTTGAGTCCAATGAAATTTGTAAATGACAGTCACGGCTTAATATACAGTGCCTTAAATTGGGACTATAACCTCCTATCCCTTACAGCCCAGGAAGGTGCCATCTTAGCCTCTATTTGGGTTGCAGTTGCCATGGTGCTGCACATGTGATCAGCTATGACATCAGCCATTTGAGGTCTTGAGAGCTGATTTGAGAGCTGAAATAAGCACACTGACAACCTTGACAATTGGCGTGCCTTAAAAGTATCAAGTTTGGGGGACATGAAATTGGTGGGTAAAGTTCCTCTTTAATCTTTTTGGATTGAGATCCTAATGTGTGTAATGTTAGAAAATACTAATTTTAAAAGGAAAAATAATAAATGTTCACTTCTTCATAAGATAAAAAAGTGCATGTATTATTTTTTTGCATAGAAGCCGGTAAAGTATTGTGACCACAATCAGTAGATCGCAAGTGCAATGCTCCGGCTCCTGCAGACAGTTCCCCTCATCCACACCCGCACTGAGCTACGGGCATGCAGTTACATGGACTGGAGGCAGAGTTAATGGTCTACAGGTGCAGTGACATCTCCTTTTAAACTACAAGCCCCTCTGCTGCGATGTCAAATGGGACTTGTAGTTCCACCATCCTGTGGATGATGCGGCAGTGTGGGCGGAGCTGGCGGGGAGAAGAACCCCGCAATTCAGGTAAGTTGGAGGGTATGGGGGGGTTGCAATCTGACCATGTTTCATGCTACACATTAAATATGGGTGTAACATGAAACATGATCAGAAAGGTAAACTTAGCTTTTAAGTAATCTTGCATGACATCAAGGTCTTGCCTTTCATCAATGTTCCTGGTACACACTTTATACTGCTGGACTATTTATGTGACTGACTATATCATTGCAGGTTAAGGACTCAGATGTACATTTGGAGGACAAGAAATCTGATCGTAAACAAGATGCCAGTGATTCTCCCTCAAAAGTTAAAAAGAAGATTCGAACAAGAGAGTCTAGACTTATGCCACTTGATGAAGTAGGTCGCAGAATCTGTTATATATAACATATAATGTAAAGTGATATCAAATTAGACCATGTATACTGTTATAGCTTTTCTTGCAGGTTGTATGTAGTGGGACTAATTGCCAAAGTAAGGGAAAGTAAACTGAAGAAAATGCTGAGCTTTTATAGTCAAGAGGGTTAAACTAATCACCAAAGATGGATTTATAAGCTCCTGTGGCTGGAGCCAGCTATGAGGATCCCAAAAGTGTCGCAGGCATCCTTTCTGGTATGGGTTTAGGAGGCAGTTTAGTCCAGAAACAAATGGTAAGTATGAAAGTGGAAAACAGTCTGGATAATAGTCAGCCAAGACAACAAAAAAACATAATACTCAGCCAAGATGAAAATGGAAAGAGTATTAGTCAGACAAGGTGAAAATAGAATGGATACTAGTCTATCAAGACAAAAACAGAATGGGTACAAGTCAGCCAAGACATTGGCAAGGTGCGTATCATCAAAGATGCTGTAACTTTGCCCTGAATGGGCAAAATTCATTAATCCAACTATGTCTTGTCCTTCCCAAAGTCTGTTATTGGACAGTGAAAGGAGATGTAAGAGACTGATGAGGTCATCTCTCTGTCACTCTGCTCTCTCTCCTCCTAACCACATGTGGATTGCAGCACAACTCATTGGCTGGATGCGCTGATTCTTCTAGTCTGAGCTCTGCTGTACAGGGGGGTTGCAACAGGCTAATACAGGTCAAATTCAGGTACTTAAGCTGCTTGCATTTAAAGCAGAGCGTCAGGAAATTTGTTTCTTAACCCTTGCAGAGGGGCTACCTCCACACTGCAACGGTTAAATGCTCGTTTTGGTCTAGGGAGGAAAATAACAAAGACCGGTGTGGGGGTAGCCCCACTGCAAAAGTTAAGAAACTTTAAAGCTTTAAAAGAACTGCCAGGCCGGAATTGAGCTTCAGACAAGACCAGCAAGGAAACACAAGGGCATACATGCCACAAACTAAATTGGCTAGACAAGGGGTAGGCGACCTTGTTACTCCAGGTGTTGTGGAACTACAAGTCCCATGAGGCATTGCAAGATGGACAGCCACAGGCATGACTCCTAGAAGCAGGGGCAAGCTGGGATTTGTAGTTTTCCCACAGCTGGAGGTTGTCTACTGGGCTTCTAATTCCTGGGCTATAGCTTCAGATATTTTAGCACTTCGGTGGAGCAGAGGAGGGGAATAAACGCATGAGATTTCCAAAAGATCAGCTATAGACAGGACAGACACTCGGCAGATGGATAAAGAGACCAGCCACAGTTTTTGTAGTCTGTTGAATAGGAAGACGGCATCCAAGAATATGAATTTACATGCAGATCGAACATTCATTTCAATTGCTTGTTTGTTTTTCTCTTTACTCATGACTGCACACCCAGAATCCATGTGACATCTGCTGATGTATGGGTAATACTTCCTGACCAATTATGGAGTAATTTTTCTTCTGATTGCCTTCCTGGAGACCCAGTATACAATACTATTTCTATATAGATTTAATATCAAACAGCTCGGATTGAATAGAAGAAGTGCTCAAAGTACTTTGTGGCAGCACTGGCTACATCAATCTTGCCCTAATGGTTAGGAAGGAGGATAATCGGACGCATAATAATTAATTGAGGAACAGCTTTCGTCAACTTAATAAGGTTCCGCTCTGTTAGGCTTTATTTGTGTGAATAATTGGATAATGCTTCATGGTTTATTTATCTTGCAATCCCACTGGTGCATTCAGATATTTCATGCAATTGCTAAAAATAACTGCTATTTATATTCTTTTATGCTCTGAGATTTATGTGCTGTTGGGAGCAAGTCATAATAATGGTGCAGCTCATACTTCCACCTAGAAACCTTTTTCCTGCCTGCATCACAAGCTCTGCAAGCTGTAGATAATATATACTGTGTTCTTCTTCTTGCAGGAAGGCAACCAGCTGCCTAGCAATGGTGTTGAAGCATTTGCGTTAAAGGCCAAAGTTGTTTATCCAATAAATCAAAAGTTTAGGGTAAGATGTCTAACTTTTGTTATGTGGTGGCAATTTTAACAACAATTTTAATAACATGTAGATGTGGTCTAACAGCTAAATTAATTACATACTGCTTTACCTACCAGTGTATTTGGAACTCTTTACAGCCAATCTTGTGATTTACAGGAGTAATACAATTCCAGGCAGGATGAAAATGCTATTGAGGAAAATTAGATGGGTGCTACACTATATGGCCAAACGTTTGTGGACACCTGATCATCACGCCTACATGAGCATGATGGACACTCCATTCCAAAGCCATCGGCCTACCTTTTTTTTTTTTTAAGTCTCCACTTTCCTAGGAGGGCTTTCTGCACAATGTTGGAGTATCTATGGGAATTTGTGCCCATTCAGCCAAAGGAGCATTTGTGAGGTCAAGTACTAATGTTGAAGAGAAGACCTGGCTCTCAATCTTCTTTCCAATTACCCCAAAGGTGTTCAATAGGGTTGAGGTCAGGGTGCAGTCCACTCAAATTTCTCCACACCAGAATCATTAAGCTATGTTTTTATGGACCTGGCTTTGTGCAAAGGGGTGATTTTTTTTTTTTGGGAACCCCAAATTGTAGCCACAAGGTTGGAAATAAACCATTGTATAAAATATCTTTGCATGCTGTAACATTAACAATAATCTTCAGTGGAGACACAATTGAACTCAATCATTTTGAAGGGTGTCCACATTCTTTTAGTCATACCGTATTTTTCGCTCCATAAGACGCACTTTTTTTAACCCAAAAGGAGGGGGAAAATGTGCCTGCGTCTTATGGAGCGAATCCCGACGCACGAGACATGCAGTTTCGGGCGCCGGGCGAGTAGTAGGAGCCACTGCTCGGCTTTAATACGAGTGATCTAATGAGACGTTCTTCGTCTGCTCTGTGTGATCACTGAGACCGTGGCGCTGTAATCACAGCGCCACCTGTCTCAGCGGTCACTAACTGCAGCTTCTGTCACAGTGTCTGTCATAGAAGCTGTGACAGAAGCTACAGTCTGTCGAGTGCTCCATAAGGCGCGCCGGACCTCCCTGCGTCCTATGGTCCGGTGCGTCTTATGGACCGCAAAATACTTTATATCATGTCCTTTCTCTCCTGTTTTTGGATGTAGGGCAACAAACATGATCCTGGCTTCTCTACCTAGAGAGTCACTGACTTGGACCATGTTTGCTGTATGATCTTCTATCCTTGCATACATGTTTAGAGACATTAAATAGTAAATCCAGTATTAGGATGGCAGCTGAAGAGCATATAGGGATTCCCACTAATTTAAAGCTCTTGTAACCCAACCCCAAATAGCTGCTTCCTAAAGTACATCTTGATATATTGTTCAGAGCTAGACAACTCTTCCAACCTAGCTAGATATTATTGCATGACTTATATGATGCCATTGAGTGAATATACTCCTATTATCCCCCCCATACTTCCCCTTCCCCACAACTTTATCGTTCTTCCTCTTTCTCTCTCTCTACTTTCTCTCTTCTCATCTCTCTTTTCTTTGCCTTTTCTTTCTTTCCTGTCTCCCCCTAATTAAAGTCCCCTTACTTGATAACATAAAGTTGGTGCACAGCAGATTACCTAAAATATAACCAATAATTCTAGACAAGTAGTATTTTTAGAAGGAGGTTAGACATGGCAGCACCTATATTGTTCCTACTATTCAAGTAAGAGCTCTTTATTGGAGGAAGGTAATAGTGTATTTAACATAAGGGAGGTAAGAGATCATTTGTGCAGTAACACATAGTATCTTCAACATTTCCTACTATTTATTTCAGTATGTATGTAACTTTTTTTTTTTTTTTAACTGAGGAAGCCTTTGCAAAATCTGCTATTATTTCCCATCTGTCTGCAATTCCAGCCACTTGCTGATGGAGCATCAAACCCATCACTGCATGAAAATTCTAAGCGCGCCCAGTTACCTAACCAGATGTTTGAAGACTCTGCAGGGAGCAGTACAGAATCTCTGAGTCAGGGGGAGAAGGAGGATGGAAGTTCATCCACCACAATACATTCCACTACCAGTCTGGATAGATTCTACGAGAGAACCTTTCCCCGAGTCAACGCTTTCCCTGAAGTTCTTATATGTAACAGGTAAAAGTAGTGCTGGATTCATAGTACAAGCTTTATTCCTGTGTATGGAACATTACCCTGTTGTACGTGTATTGAAGTCTATATGACCAGGTCAAATTTTGCAGCGTCAATATAGCTTAGTCACTTGCCATCTGGAACAATTTCTTAGTTTTTTCACACATGATAAAATCAGAATTATTTTGCTAGAAAGCAGCCTAAAACCCCCAAATTATATATTTTCTGAAACCAAAGGCCCTGTAGAATTTTAAAAAAAATGCGAGTTGTATTTATTTATTTTTTTGTAAATTCTTTATTTATTCAACCATTCACAGAAACAGATGAGTTAACAGGGAAAAATAAAAGTATGAGAGGCGATCCAGTACAACTCAATATAGTAATAGGTACTCATCAACAGATCCAGGAAAACCACATTTCCTTAATAACGTCAGTCATGAGAAGATAATCCCAATGTTACATCCGCTCTGCAGTTCCATTTTCCATAAAAGTAGAAAGAGACAGAAAGAAAACAGGCTAAAAGAAAAGACAGGAGGAATGGTACAATACCCGATACTGAGAAAATAGAAGTAAGAGAGAAAGAAAATGAGGCCAAAGTGGTATCATAAGAGAGAAAGAGGAGAAAACTGGGATAAGAAAAGAGAAGTAACAGATAGTTGTATTATTTTATGTTGCACAATGTTTGCACAAATGTTTATCAAGCCAATATTTTGAGGATAAAATACACTAAAATTAATTTTAGTGCACAGAAACAGAATATAATGCCCAGTTTTTGGGTGAAATATAAAAGATGCGGTTGTGTCCGGCAAATAGGTACCAGACATGTCAAGCATTTAAATTGCATGTGCCCATTAAATGGCAAAAAACTACAATACCCAAAATTGCCCATAGGCAAGGCTTTAAATGCTTTTACCACTCATCCATTTAAGTGAACGGTGATTGATTGCCCTAGAATTGCTGCTCTCACTCTGGTGACATGTATCATGTGTGGCGCAATTGTTTTTGCATGTAGGCGCATCCAACGTGTGTTATTATTATTATTATACAGGATTTATTTAGCGCCAACAGTTTCTGCAGCACTTTACAATATAGGGAAGACATTACAATCACAATACAAATCAAGACAAGATTGTAATGAGGGCCCTGCCCCTGAGGGCTTACAATCTAAAAGGGAGGGGGAAGTGATACATGAGGAGGGAGCTGTGTGGGGATGAATTGTTTGAGAAAGTGATAATTCAGTGGTTAGGTTGAGGTGGGATAGGCTTCCCTGAAGAGATGAGTCTTTAGGGAATGCCTAAAGGCAGTCAAGGTGGGCGACAGACACACATAGTGTCAAAAGCAGCAGAAAGATCTAATAGCAAGAGTAGGGAATAGTGGCCTTTGCTTTTAGCAGTGAGTAGGTCATTAGTGAGTTTTAGGAGGGCAGTTTCAGTGGAGTGTAGGGGGCGAAAGCCAGATTGTAAGGGGTCAAGAAGGTTGTGATCAGCGAGGTGGTGGCTTAGGCGGCTGTAGATGAAGCGTTCTACTAGTTTAGAGTTGAATGGGAGTAAGGAGATTGGTCTGACATTATTGAGGTCGGTAGGGTCCATTGAGGGTTTTTTGGGTATTGGGGTGACTAGGGCATGCTTCAGAGGGGAGGGAAAGATTCCAGTAGAGAGTGAGAGATTGAAAATGTGAGCCAGAGAGTCTTGGATAGAGCAAGAGGGTGACCGAAGTAGCGGTGAGGAAACAGGGTATGGGGGCAAGTGGTGAGGTGGGTGTCAGAGAGAAGCTTTGTAACAAGTGTGAGTAACAAGTGTGATGGAGGGTCTGGTACATGAATAGGGGAAGGTGACTGCACAGTGGTGATCTGATCACGAATTGTATCTATTTTGTTTTTGAAGTGAATGGCAATGTCCTGGGCAGTGAGTGAGTTAGTGGATGGTGGCTGTGGAGGACGAAGTAGAGAGGTAAAAGTAGAAAAGAGTTGGCGAGGTGTGGATGAGAGTTTGTTAATGAGAGTGACAAAATACGTCTGTTTGGCAGTAAGGAGGAAGGAATTGTATTTTAGGAGGGCCGCTTTGTACAGGGTGAAGTCTTGCAGAGATCTAGTTTTCCGCCACAGTCGTTCAAGAGTGCGGCTATGTCTCTTGAGAATTTTGGTTTCATTTGTTTGCCACGGTTGTAGCGGACGTGGTCTAAGTCTGCGAGTAGTGAGGGGAGCCAAGGTGTCTAGAGAGGACTAAAGTGAGCACAAATCGTGTCTAGTGAGGACGAAAGTGAGCACACATCGTGCTTCATCAGCTTCTGCGACCACAGCAGCCAGAGAAATGACAGTCTGAAACTGAAAGTGGTGTAATACCCCTGCTTCCAGGTTCAGTGATCGGAGGGGAGATCAGCTGCTGGAAGTGCGCTGAGCTCCCTCCGATCGAGGTGCACAGACCTGCTGTGCCAGTCCTGGGCCCACACAGGGGACAGCTGAGCCTGGGATAGCCGGCATCGGAGTGCAGGGGCACATACTGCCCAGCTCCATACAAGCGATTGGGCGGCTCTATAGCTCTATAACCTTGATATGTGACAGCAAGGCGCTGGCTGTAGAAGATGGTACCAAGATCATGGCAGCTGTGATCTTGGTATAAACGCCTTTTAGATACGTTAGGCGGTCTTGAAGTAGTTAAGAAGACCCTCTCACCAACTTTAAAAATTGGATATAAAAAGCGCAGTATCAAGTATTTAAACACTTGCAGTGTTTTCCTTTCTGTAAATGATTTCTTATTCACATGCAATATGCCTTTTGAACTTGCTAGAAAATTTGACTACTCTAAGAGAGTCAGCTCCCTAGAACATCCCTCTCAATAGCACGGCATAGCCCTCTCCTCATCTGGGAGTGTCTAAATTCCTCTCTATGCTGACCCAGCATCTCCACACCTCCCCTTACATATCTACATAACCCTTTTTGTAGCAGGCGGGGGAGGAGCAAATGGGAATACTACAGTGTATCACTTAAGTGACAGCTCTGAGTCTGCAGGGGCTGCTAAAATCACATCCAAGATGGTGGCACTTAGCAGTGGTCTCGGGGGGGTTTTGGATGACACAAGGGAGGATTTTACCGGTAAAATATCATGCATGAAATATGTTACATAGTTGGTGAGGTTGAAGACACAGGTCCATCAGGTTCAACCTATAGTGTGTTTTGTAAACTGAGGAACTCATCCAAGTATTTTTTGAACCTGTTTATGTTCTCTGTCGACACAGCTATCTGTGGAAGTGAATTCCAAATTTTTACCACTCTCACTACTGGATTCCCAATACAGCTGTCCCCATTGAGTTTGTAAATTGCAATCATGTCTCCTCTGAAGCTTCTCTTCTCCAAGGAGGTTAGATTAAATTTTTGTAGTGGTCTTTGTTAAATTAGGACCTCCATCCCTCTTACTGATTTAGTTGCCCTTCTCTGAACTTTCTCTAGCTCATGGACCTAAGGATTGGTGTCCACAATTGAACCGCGTACTCAAGATGGGGCCTTACCAGTGTTTTGTAAAGTGGTAAAATTATATTTCTATGACTTGAATAAAACCCTCTTTTAATACAAAGTTAGTATTCTATTTGCTTTATTGGTTGCAGCATGGCATTGCATGCTATTGCTGAGTCTGTAGTTTATAAGGACCTCAAGATCCTTCTCCATCTGTGTTAAATGCACATATAATTTTATGGGAAGATTTTTGTTTTTGAAAAGAATAATCTGGCCACCTGGTCTTTCTTTCTCATCTAAAGGTACTTCAGGAGAGCACACCATGCCCACTGCCTGGTGTCAGGATGTAACCTCCTTTTGCATCTCAGAGGAACTACACGCTTGCAAAAATGTAGTACATCCGGGGGGGGCTGGAGAAGACAGAAGCTTATATTGTTTATACGGGGAAAGGCTATGTCTCGGGTTCCAATTATTAGTAGAACTAATCAATTACAAACTCCCCGATTAGAATGGGCATTACTATGAAAAAAATTTTACAAAAGCATGTGCTGTAACAATTACGTTGTAGATCCCCACACCAGTCTTTGTACAGACATGGACCTGTGTGCAGATGTACTACGTTTTTGATTTATTTTGTTTTTCCCATCTATTGGGAAACATGTGACTTAAACATTTGGGTAATACTGCTGCCTACAGGAGGATTGGACACTGGCAAACAAATTGTAGGTCAGCCGTAAGATACTCCCTTCTACTATCATCTTGCCTCAGTTTTTTTGCTACTGTCATAGGAAATTGGATGTCTTTTCTTATCTACACTGATTCAAAGACTTAATCTACTTTTTTTTCTAACAACCTATTTTTCTCCTCAGTCAAGATTCATCTCCCTTGCCAATGCTGACATTTTCTCACCATCTTCCTCCAGGTTTGTGATTTTCAGCCATCTTAATTGACCAATCAAGGATGACGTCATTCCCACTCATGAGCATGGGAGTTAAACAATCCTTGCACCCGGCAGAAGCCTGGATTGTGCACTGAGCTGTGAATGTAAAAATAATTTATTGCAGAAGAGAATAGTATGACTTTTCTGCAATAAAAAAACTTCCTGCTTCTAAATTTTTACATTTTGCCTAAAGTTGCGCTTTAAGCTATCTGTGAAGCGCTTTCCAGGTCCAGAGCTGTTAGCAATGCCTCCTTCATTTTTATTATTCTCTGGGCATCCCTTTTTTTTGGCTGGCTTGCCATGGAAGGGGTTAGCACTGAGAGACACATGTCACATGAGCTTTTAGGGCTCTTTCCGGTCAGACAGCGTTGATGGGTGCTCTCAACTCTGCTGCTTCTTTTACAAAAGCCAAGTGGAACTTAAATCCCTGATCTGTTCCTACTGACCACCTGCAGTGATGCTGGTCACTTTCAGTCACTCCCACCTTTGGTCTTGAGAGTTGTCTCCCAGCTGTCGGCGCATCCAGGTTCCATGAGTACTCAACGCCTAGCCTCCTACCTTGAGTCTATACATTGCAACATGTCTGATTCTTGACCCGGGAAATAGTCCTGCTGTGTT